CCTTGAAAAAAACCAATAGCAGTGGTGTAATTCCCCCTACTTAATCAACCCTTGGAGGACCTATCAAAAAATTTCTACAAAGGGACACCACAAAGCAAAGAAATAGGGAAAGAGAAACATCACACAGAAAGAAGGCATCATCACACATATATCTTTCTTTTGCAGACAGCTGAAAATTTCTCAGAAGCAAGAAGGCATGCATAGAGGTGTTCTTCAGAGCTCACCAGTGCAACAAATGATGGCTGGAAACCCTAACTGGTGGAACATCAATATCAATACCATGCCTCCACAAGCTCCTCCTTTCTTCTCCACTCCTTCAAACTTTTCCATCCCTTATGCTCCCTCTTCTCTCCCCTTTCCTTCTTGGAATGAAAATCAAGACCTTCCTGAGTCATGGAGCCAGCTACTCATGTATTTCATTCATTTCTCTTTCTTTCTAGTATATAACATGCTTGCATGGCGATACTTGGTACATGGAACATCTGTGTTTGTTTAAGGAAACATCAAAATCTAATTTTTTTGTTGTTTAAAGGAGTGGGGTGGTGGATGAACAAGGTAAGGTTGGGATGGGCCAGTTTCAGACAAAGAAGTTGGAGAACTGGGAGGATCAAATGCTAGGTCAGCCTCCAAACGCTTCTCTTGTTGATGTTAAGCAAGAAAATTCAGTTAACAGCTATGTATACGGCCATGGAAACGAAGAGCTTCAGTCATCAAAGCCATCCTGGTCTCCGAAATCCTGTGCCACTAGTTTCAGTAGCAACATGTTAGATTTCACTAACAGTAGTAGCACAGATGCAAGGCTTCCTCCACCAGATCGATCTTCTGAGGTAAGGAACATATTAGATTTCATACACAGCTCTCTCCGTTGAGATTCCTTCACTGATTGATGAGAATCTACGATCTTCTTATTTCATTATTACCTTTTTCTTTCCTTCTTGGTCAATGAGATGCACAAACCCACTTTTCATCCAACTTTACTAAATTTTGCCAGAAAAAAGCTTTCTTATTTTAGAGCATTTAAACAACCATTTTTTTTACATAATCTAAAGGCAAGATCTTTCCCTGTCTTTGTAGATCAAAACATGATTAATCACTTCGATATTCTCTAATCTTGTTTGAAACAAAACGAGTGACATAGTACACATACTTTACCAATGTTTTTGCATCAATTAATAAAGTAACAAATCAGTACACAGATTCTCATTTTTGCTGCGTTCTGTTGTTTGAATTTGAATCTAATCAAAACCCTCTTTGTTTCTCTAAGTGCAATAGCACTGCAGCTGGTGGGGCACTGAAGAAAGCTAGGGTTCAACCCTCTGCTACAACACAGGCTACATTCAAGGTAAAATGCAAACTACCAGGCAGAAACTTCCAACCCTTACTCTCTTTCAGGCATACAAACACATGTGGGGTGTAACTGTTGTCTTTCTTTCTTGTCTATTTCTCAATCATGATTATTCTTTTTTCTCTTGCTTCATCGTCATTTTACCATCTCAGAATATGAGAATCGAACACAGCCAAATGAAACAACAAAATATAACCAAATTTTTAGCATGTGCGCATGTACGACATATTTATATGACTTCCTCTTCTCAATTTCAGGTCAGAAAGGAGAAGTTAGGCGACAGAATTACAGCTCTTCATCAGCTCGTTTCCCCATTTGGGAAGGTAACAAGAACAATACTTACTCAAATCAAATTTCACCATCATACTTTTTTTTTCAATGAAAAAGAAAATCATTAACTTGTCTAAAATTATTATGATTTTCTCTTTAACACAGTAAAAATAAATTATCACATAGTCCAAGACTAATGGTCCCCACTAATCTAAATTATAAAAAAAAACATGAAAATGTCACTAAAAAATTCTTATTAAACTAAATGTAGGTGAATTAAATTAATCAGAGCTGTACGTCCGGGTTAAAAATAGCATAAACATTCTTTATATAGAAAGATCCAATAACAAAAGTTTACCCATCCACATGTTTAAGAACACTGGAATTGACACTTTTTGCCGTTATAATTTTTTTCCTTTGCTTTTTTGAAGATGATATTTTAGAGAAGAAAAGAAAAGGTTGGTTTATAAGCTAATATATAATTATGACTGGGAATAACGCTGGTGTGTGTATGTGTGTGGCATATTTCACTTTTGCAGACTGACACAGCCTCTGTCTTGTTAGAAGCTATTGGGTATATCAGATTCCTTCAGAGTCAAATTGAGGTGATGTTTCTTCTCCACTCTTTACTTTCCCAAACAACCACGAGCCTCTGATGCAAGCTGCACGCTGTTAAAGCTTCATTTCACATTGGAACATATTGAAATTGATCCAATGCATATAATAAAAAGAGAGACAAGTGCATGCACTACTCGTATTAATATATT